AGGACTGGATCCTAAGTTTCAAAAATTAAGATTCTGGATTCCCGCATAAGTTTAATATATTTTTTTAATTTATATTCAATTAATAAATTATCATTAGAAACTAAAATATAATACCAGTAAAATAAAAATCTTCTTTAGAACTGGCAAATTTATTGGGACTTTTAGGATTGTTTAGGATTGTTTAACATCTCTAATTTAAGCAATTTGAATTTTTTAAATTGAATCAAATTGAAATGAATTAAACCAAAATATTTGATCAAATCAAATTGAATTGATTTGAATTTAATTGAATTAAATTAAATTAAATCAAATCAAATCAAATCAAATATAAAAAAAATTTTAATTTTTTATAATGATAAATTAAAATAAAATTAGCTTTTGCAAAGTAAGTTTAGTAACAGGTGAATTTTTACTATTAAACTTAATAAAATAACTCTGTAGTCTCAATTTTACTAAGAAAACTTAGTAATAACCACTATTTTGACTTTGTAACCATTTTATTAGTAAAATAATATTTCTGAAGTTATGAATGTGTTTTTTATTAGGTTTCTTAGTAAAATAATGTCTCCAAAGCTGCAAAGATATTTTTTACTATATTTTTTTAGTAAAATAATATCTCTGAAATCATGAAGGTATTTTTATTATATTTTCTAGTAAAATAACATTTCTGAAGTCATAAAGGTATTATTACTATGTTTTTCTTAGTAAAAAAGCATTTTTGAAGCTGCAAAGATGCTTTTTGCTATGGTTTTTCTAGTAAGTGTCACTCCTGAAGCTTTGGAGATGGCTTTACTATTGATTCAAATCAAATTAAATATTTGAATACTTGATTTGAATTTGATCAAATTGAATCAAACATTAATTTGGATTTGATCAAATAAATCATTCTTCAATTTGAATTTGATCAAATAAAATCAAATATAAATTTAAATTTGTATTTATTTGATTTTTAAATCAAATATTCAAATATCAAATCGAATTGCAAAACCCTAACCATGAGGATTGAGTTTCAGAATTTTAGTAGAAATAGTTAAAATCTCTTGATTTTGAAAATAATTTAATGCAAGTACTTTAAGTTGGAAAGGCTTTAAAGTATCTGTTTGGATTTCAGAAGAGTAGGTTAAAGGTTCAATAATATAGTGGTGGATGAAAATTCACTGGGCATAATGGTGATTAAAGGTTTATTGTCTATAGTAAAGGTAAATTATAAAGAGTTAAATGCAAAATAAATTCCATCACATTCATTCTTACTTATATTACTTTTTTAAAAAGATTCCTCTAGAATCAAGTCTAAGCTAAAGTAAAAAAATAATATTAGTTTGAAATTACTTTAATCATTAGAATATCAATCTTAAAAGTAATGTAACTATCTTATTTTCATATACTAGGGATCTGTTATGATCGTTACAAAATATGAATGTTCTTGAATCTTTATTGACAATTTAATTTACTGATTAGTTTCATCTTTATTATCTTGCATGTTAATGCAAGTCTCTAAATGATTAAAAAATATTAGCATGTAGATTCCAGAGAAATCATACCAATTACCTACATGAAAAAATATTAGAACTTTGCTTATAATATATGTTAAGCCTATCTTTTTACATTATATCTCACTATTATTTCTATAATCCATTTCATTTATACTAGTTTTGTAAGCTTCATAATATTCAAAATTCTGAAACAAAAAAACTATTAGCTCTTCTTCATGCTTTTTAAATGAAATATGATATTCTTATCCATTCAATAATTTATATCCTTGAATTATTCTTTTTTCAAACTGTTTCTCCAGTTTTTTTTTTGCCTACATTTTTTTATAGTATTGGAAAAGATCGCTCAAACATCTGTCTTCTTATAAATCTATCAGATATAATTGATCAGAAAAGCTTATTTTTTAGACAATTTTCCTAATACTGCTTTTTCATACTTCAATACTTCATGAATAGGATTTTTTTACTTTCTCTATTTGTATTTGCAAGAATTAGTTGAATACTTTAGTAAATATATGTAAGAAAATATATATATATATATTAATTGCATATTTTAGGTGATTGATCTCAATTGATCTCACATGATATTTTTTTTTATATACTATGTCTCAATAAATAATATTTAAGCTTGAGTAAAGATTTCTATAAACTAGGTATAAGTATTTTCCCATTTTTTATAATATAAGAGGTAGTTAGTAGAAAAGAAAGAAATCCAAATTTTGGTCAAATTTATATTATTGGACTACTTAGCTGATCTCGGTCATATGCACAAATTTAGCTTAATAATAAAAATTAATAAAAATTTTGGATTTTTTCCTTTTTTATTGACCACCTCCTATATTATCAAACTATCCAGTTTTAAAATGGCACTTTAAAATATCATAATGTATTAACTTTTCACTAATCAATCTATCGCAATCTGTTAGAAGTGGGTAATATTTTTTAGGAACTTTTTTTTTCTTCATTGCTTCATGATAAAATTTCATATTATTTTTCAAAATAGTTAGAAAGTATTCGTGATCTCATTTTTTTTCTCAGTCTCAGTAATGATAAAAAATTTCTCAGAATCAAGGCAATATTAAATGACATATTGATAAAGATATTATAACTTATTTGGATTAGTCCTAAGAATTAGCATTTGAGAAGATGCAGATGGTATATTTACTTGAGATTTAGGTGAATTTTCTGGACTGATTTTTTTGGAATTACCTGAAGAATTAGAGTCATGAGATGAAGGAATAGGTGATTTCATCTCTACTTTGGTATACAACTTTTTTAGGATGGAATTATTAAGGACTTGAAATTTAATCAATAAATTACATATGCATGAATAATTGTTTACGCTAATCAATTTTTGAGATTTGACTAATTTATCAGTATAAAGATTTATTATATTTTGGATTTATGTATAGAGATTATATCAATGCTAGATGTAACTATTTTAATTTTATCTATTCCTATTCTTTTGAACAATATATAAATATTTTTAACCTTATATGTCATTAGTTGAAAATACTCTTTCTTTTTATCAGAGAAATATGACTCTATTTCATCATAAAATCTGTATCCTTGCTATTTGATTGCTAATATTATTTTTAGAATAAAGGGTTATAACCTTTTTTCATATTCCTCACTATAGTAATACTATCGTAATATTTTTTCCAATCAGATTTTTTAACCTTGTCAAGTAAATGAGCTAAATGAGTTACAAAATCTGAAGTTAGATTAGTATTGACTAGAACATCTGAAATATATTTATTAGATATAAAATTTGGTAAGGATGTAAAATCATAACATCTAATAATTCAAGTAATTCATATATTAAATCTTGTTCTACTTTCTGATTATAGGGATTTATTGAGACAAAATGTTTTGCTAGTTTCCTAGGCCAGAAGGTTTTAACTTATAGGGTATTATTAACTTTTCAAATGATTCCTTTGGAATTGATTCTTTGACTACCTGTTCTAGAAGAGTTACATGTTCTACATGTTCAATATTAATCATGAAGAGGTCTGATTTATAGCTGATATTAATTACTGAAGATAATTCTTAGATAATTAATTTATCCTAAAACTTTTTTTCCACTTCCTCTTTCTAATCTTATTACTAATCCTTTTCTTATGCATTTTATTCAAGAAATCATCTGTTTCTTCTAATGATTTAGTATTAGCATTATTATTAAATGTATTATCAGAGGTAATTGATTATCATACTTCATTATTTAGCTAATCTATTACAGAATCGGATATCTGAATATTACCAAAAGATGCTTCGCTAATATTTGAATTCATTTTGTTAGTGATTGAATCTATAATATTATTATTCTGCCTATTTCCTGAAACCATTTTCTTAGAAATAACCATTACCTCTATAACCATTACCTCTAGCAACATCTAAAGTTAAGGAAAGGTTTGCTATTTGATTTTATTGACATTATACCTTAATTTTGCTATCTCAGCTTTTAAACTTAACACTCTCAGATTCAAGTTTAATGATAACTGCATTAATATTCTCTAGCTCTACAATTATAGCATTAAGTTTGCCAATTTAAACTGAATAATCTGCTATATTCTTTTCCAACTCATTAGTTCTAGCCTTAAGCTCCTATCTCAATTCCATTTTCTCAGCCTTAACCTCAGCAAACTTTAGTAACTTCTTTCTAAGTTCGGGAATCTCAGCATTCTCTTTCCTAAGCTCTAAAATCTCAGCTAAGAGTTTAATATTTAGCTCTCTCAATGAATCCATTGTAACTTGAGCGGTTGACATTTTTTATACAAAATGGGAATAATTCAAAGTTCTTCAGCATAGATAGGGTCCTGTTGATAATGGTTAAATTGTATTCTTTTTCTTAATTTTAATATCATGATTTGTTATAATAAACAAGGTAATATCCTCATCAGAATTACACTGTTAAATGTGGCTTTATTGATACAGAAAATAAATTACATGATTCGATGATACATAAACTTGTTTTTACAATGTGAAATGGTGTTTCTATTCTAATGCCTACAGACCACACAGTATTTCGTTCATCTAAGCTATCTATACTAACACAATATAATAACATTAACTCTATTCCGATTTTAATTGTCCCAAAATCGATATTCTGGATAGAATAAAATGGTCATCAATTGTGCATAGAACATGCGAGTCAGCAATAAATTAACAGTATTGACCTTTGTAAAATTCACTGAAAGTTTATGTTCTCTGCCCAATAAGGTCCTCAGTTTGAAGAAATATAAATATTGACGAAAAATTATTGAAGTCCGGACGAGACACTTCGTAATTAAGATATGAGTAAAATATATTTTATCGGTTGTGGCTATGCATTTGCAGGGAAACGACTCAGGATTTGCAAAGTTAATATTTATTTTTTTTGTTTAGAAATTGTGATAGTACGGTTCCTTTTAAACGAGTCAGACTCGGAAAATGAAAAAAGTTGTTACACATGAAAATCTTTTTTTCCGGTATTGCTGATACACAAACTTAAATATCTAGTAAAAATTAACCATGTCTACTACCGCTGATAGATACCGCGAGAAATTTAATATTTTGAAGGAAAGAAACTTAATCGGTAATAAACGTTTAAAGACTGAGAATGAAGAATATAAACAGCTTATACAAATAACAAAGGTCAACATTTGTGATGATGCTGAATACGTTCAAGATTTAGACACTAATTTCAGCCGAATATCTGATATTATGGCGATACTCATGAACTCACTGAAAAAGTAATAAATTCATTAAAGAGTAAAGAATTTACTGATTAAGGGATTGGATCAAAAAATTTTTTACTCAAGTAAAAGGAAGGTATAATGCGCCGAATAATGACGTACGTGGTTGGGCAAAATTAATAGGTGCTTTCGATGAAAAGACGGCTTCTGAAAAGGTAAATTTTAGAAGCCAAGATGAAGAATATATTTCGCAGTTGGAGATAATCTTAGATGAAATTCAAATGTCAACCGATGATTTCGAGAAGTTGTATAAAATGAAAAATGAAAGTAACGTTGAATTTCACGATCAGGTAAATACTTTGGCAGAAGCAAGAAACCAATTTAAAAGGATGCAATTTTCCAACAATACGAAGAACCGTTAAAGAAACTTTTTGAGGCTTTAAAAATGTGGTATCGTTGTTGACTAAATATGTTAAATGTTTTTAATTTACCGTAAAGGAGAATTATTTAGGAATAGTATAACATTACATTTAAGCCTTCTTGCATATGGTGTGGAAAGATTAGAACAATAGCTGACTTTTCTCTCTTCTATTTTGTCTTTTTCTTGTTCTTGATTAGCAAATTATTAATCCATACGTAATCTGTCTGGCTAAAATCAAAAAGAACAGCTTACTATTAATGCTTGAGCGATACAAAATGCCCTTGGTAGATATTTTATTATTTATATTGGCAACATACATTTAGCAAATAAGCATGTTCTCATATACGAAAAATTTATCAACTTTGTTTTATGAATATGTAATGAATCCTTTGCAATAAAAAAATACCAAAGATAGATAATATAATAATTTTCAAGTTATTAGTTTTACTGGCTCCTGTTGCCATACAAACGAGTTAGTTAAACATAAATACATGAATGCTTATCTATTCCTCCGCGAGATTGCTCAATGACTTTACCCTTTTCATTGGCTTCCGCTTAATATATACTTTACTTATAGACCAAATGTATAGAAATGATGACAGATGGCTCCTCTTCAAACTATATGACATCGATTCGATAATGATTGGAATATTGGCCATAAAAGGATATTCCTTATTGAGGTAGATAATCAATTATGAAATCCTCCCATATTAAGTTTGGGAAAATTTTCTATTGTGTTTCAAACGGACATTATTAAATTATTTAAAAAAAATTTCGAAATTTTTTTTTTATTAATAAAAGAAAAAAATATCTTACTGATTACTTTCTTCTTATAGAATCATAAAATGTCTAAAGTGTCTGACGATCTTGATATCGATAAATATCTCTCAACTGAAGCAACACAATTACAGAAAGATCAAGAAGTCGAACGTATTCTATCTGCGTTCAAGCTAAATCCTTTTGACCTTTTAGATCTTTCTCCTTATTGTACAGAAAAAGATATTAAAAATGCTTATAGAAGGAAATCTTTACTTATTCACCCTGATAAAACAAGCCATCCTAAAGCACAAGAAGCATTTTCTTTATTGAAAAAGGTATTGACATTTTTTTTTTTCTTAACGCGTCATTTATCATTTAATATTTACATTTTATATCAATTTTTAGGCAGAAACAGACTTATCAAATGAAAAATCACGCCAATTCTTATTAACAATCGTTGATGAGGCAAAAATAACTTTAATTAATGAACAAAAATTAAAACCTAATGATTCAATTATTAATACTCCTGAATTTAATTTACAAATTAAACAAAAAACCAAAGAAATTTTAATAGAACAAGAATTACGTAGACGTAAATTACTAAAACGTGATTTAGAAGCTCAAGGTTTAGCCGCTCAAAAAGCTGAACAAGTTGAAAAAGAAAGGAAAAGAAAAGCTGAAGAGGATAAATTATGGGAAGAAACTAGAGAACAAAGGGTTAATAATTGGAGAGATTTTCAAACTAAAAAGAATTCTTCAAATAGTTCTGGTAGTTCTGCTAAGAAGAAAAAAAAGTCGGGAAATGAATTTAAACCACCAAAAGTTTTGGCTGAAGATCCCACTAAACCTTATATAAAACGACCTACAAATTCTTAATCTGTGATATTGTAATATGCTAAATTTTTTTTTCGCGAAACTGTATTTAAACAATATATATTTATTTATTTACAAACAAGGAATAATGCTAACGTTCAGCGGAATGATTCACTAAGTTAAATAAATACACAAAAAGTCCTTAACCATGTCCATTTTTCTGGGTTGATATTATTTCTTTGTGCCTTTATTTTGGTCTCTTTGATTTCTTTGACCTTTTTTCGACCTCGACAATTTCTTCAACGGCCGGAACTGATTTTCGTTTTCTTGAAGAAGAAATATGTATTGGATTATCAATTACCTTGTCGCTTTTCTTTTTCCGTTTCTTTGAAGACTCTGCCACTTCTGTTTCTATTAAACTCTCCTCGATCGTTGCGATTAATTGTTTAATAGCTTCAGGTTCAATGCTAGCTTGCTTACCTTCTTTTTTGGTCTTCGAAGAGCGCGACTTTTTATGTTTATTAGATTTGGTCCTTAAATGACGATGGCTTTCCTCTGTCGCATTATCATTAGATAAAGAATCCTCCGAATCTTCCACTCTGATATCCTCTTCACATTCCATAGGCGTAGTTAAATTTTTGGCAGGTTTGGACGACTTTGAAAATTTAAGCTTCAATCTTGTAGAACCTGTCATATCCTTCTTTGGATATTCAAGCCTGATCAGACCCTGATCCACACCATATAAAGTGTTTACATAATTCCTAATGCCAAGGTCAGGGTCTGATGTGCCAAGACTTTTTAATAAATTTTTAACCTCCAAATCATCTCTGTTATAACCAAGGATCCACAAGGCTCTTAAAGACATTTTCCTAACACCATAATGATTTCCTACCCTAATATATATATATATATATATTATTATTATTATTATTATTATTATTATTTTGTTGTTGTTATATCTTTATAATATTAAGTATTAATAATAATTTATAAAACTTACTTGGCATAATAAATGAATTCATGTTTATTTTTATCGATTACTTGGTTCATCATTAATGATGATTTGGCCTATGATTTAAAAAAGTGTAATTGTATTCGATTCGATCATATTTACATAATTAATAAAATTTTATAATTTGACTGTATAATAAATACCCATAAAATGCTCTCAAGGACAATGTCTTTATAGGATCCTAGCGACCTATCTCTGCGCATAGTTTCCTCAATTATATTTATAATTTCACTTTTATATTCTTGATCTTCGAGCGAAAGATAAAAGACTTCTCCAGACGTAGATGTATCTTTGTTGCTTTTGCTATTTTTTTCGATATTATTGATTTTCGCGAAAGAATTTGCTAAACTACGAACTAGTACATTAATTAAGTAATCGTCGGAATACTAAAAATACAAAATAAAGAACGTAAGTAAAAGAATTAGACGATGAAAGTTATAGTTAGGTCTAATTACATAATTCTTTGAATTATCATTCCATTTCAATCGTTGATATAAGAATCTTTTGATTTCAAGTGGAGCCAAGTTATTCGAATCTCGTAAACGTGATATAGAAGCTATCATCGCCTATAAAACATTTAAATAAATAATTGTTATATATACTAATCATCTCAAATTAATATTTTGACAGTATATTTTTAATTTTTACTTTTTGTAAAAAATACTTTTCCCAGCTGTCAAATGTGTTCGGCAATGGAATGTTATCTTCCTCACTTTTTTCACAATAAATACTTTCATAGAGCTTCAGCAAATGTCGGGTACCAATTCCATCCAGGTCATCCGATCCAAACTATTCAGAAAAGAAAAAATTTTATAAATAAACTTTATGAATTATTTTATTCATTATAAACCCAACTTACGTTTGACAAGGATTTTACTGCCTCAATACGTATATCATAAAAATACCTAAAATCATTGACAGTTCGCATTAAAGTCGTCGATGCAGCTTTACTGTTATGCTTTGATAAAGCTTGAACAGCCTTATAACATTATAATTGAATAATAAGTTGGTAATAAAAAAAAAAGTAAATAACAATAAAATTAAACTTTTAACAACTAACCTTATATTGGTCAATGACATCAATCGACTCTTCCAATAAATTTGCCCACATGTATGGAGGAAGTGAAAATTCGAATTTTGCAAGCCAACTAAATTCCGGATCAATACGGATATATTCCCATTGTTCACTATATATTATTTACATATAAATTATATATAAACAATAAATTTTGAAATAAGTTTTAGCTTTTAAGTGATACTTACCTGGCAATACGAGCTGTTGGATCATCAGCCCATTCGTGAATCATCCATTCGTTATCAACATTATTTTCAGGATCCAGACCAAAAAACTCAGGAAATTCCTCTTCCATATATTCAGCCATCATGTCACGCATATACGCGACTTCCTCATCATTAGTAACTTCCTTCCTTACCATACGTGGTTTAATCATAACTTTAGAGCGCTTATACTTGGTGTGATAATGGATTGTCTCAATTTGATGCGGTTTATGGATGTCCAACGTGTTAATATATTCATAGCCATCAGGTTCTTTAACTGATACTTCTAATTTGCCCTATATGAAAAACATTAAAGGATAGATAAGGATTGATTTCTTATAAAAATCAATTTTCAATTAAATCATACCGTAAAATAAGCTGGATTCAAAGTGTTTAAGCTGTTTAACGCAACTGAATTTGTGTTAATTTGCTCAATATCAAATTCAACAATCAGATTTTTTCGAGAGAATTTACAAGCAACTTTAAATATCGGACATCCAGAACCATAGATCCATTGACGTGAAAAGGCATTGATCTCGTTATGGAGCTCTCGACGTATGACAAATTTACATAAAAGTAAAAAGTCTCGTGTATTGAGGAAACCTTGGAGTTTATTCATCTCCAATGAAGACTTTGCATCACCCAAAATAAGGTAAATCAAGCCCGGCATTTTACGAGAATATCCAAGTAATGATAAACGTTTGTCTAACATCCAGATGACAAGAGATGCTTTGGTTTGTATAAAATCAAAGCTTCCTACTGATAAAGGAAAGTTCCATTTATCTGAACATATTGCATATTGATTGACATCCTTTTGAGTAACTGATTCGATTCTCTATAACATTTATGTAGTCAGAGAACAAAGATGTTAAACAAATAGGTATCGTTAAGGAATCTATGCAAAATATTAACGTACCTTTTTACGATCCAACCTTATTTTATCCTCTGAAAAGACCGTCTCGTAATACATTTCAACCCAATAATACGACAGACCAAGCCCCAACCACAAATCCCTCCTATGATATAAACATGTTAGTGAGGTTAAAGATATTATAAAAAAGAAGCTATTGAGATTCGTAACATACCATTTATAAGGCGAAAGAAAAATTCCAAACCACTGTTGGGCTATGCCATGCGCTATAAATTGCATCGTTTCAAATCTTTGCTCAATAATACGATAGCTATGTAATAATTGCGATCTATATATTCATATTATGTAAGCATATTTATTAATTAGAAAATGAGAAAGAATAAAATATGAATTAAAAAAAGACTACACACTTGCAAATAATAAGACCGGCAGTAATCGAAATACCATGATATGCGCCTTCAACGAAAACAATGTTTAACGATTTAAAGGGAAATCTAAGATCTTTTATAGGTGGATAAAAAGGACTTGAATGATACGTGTCATCATTAGGTATAGATGAAGGAAATTTTTCTATAAACCAATTTATTATCTGGAAATTAAAGTTCAATTAATATAACATCAATGATATTACAAGAAAATATAATTCTAGCTTACTTCAGATACCCAGTATTTACTGATATTAGGACTTTCGCTAGGTAACATTGTTGGTTCAAGATATTCTGATAGCCGATCAGTAACAAAAGCCTTGATCTCTGGTCTATCTTGGGGTAAAACAACATCACCTTGATACCATAAATTTCTAATTTTAGTAAAAGGACCACAAGCAAATCCAATAAATTGCGCCGGAACAGCTACATCTTGTTCATAATAATATGTTCTCTGATAAGGATTTTCAAGAGAATGATCCTAAAGCAAATAATAATCAAATATTTTGTTATCCAACACAAGAAAATAATCAAATCAGTTTTAACTATTTAAACTAAAAAAGTCAATTTACCACTTTAACCAAATTTCCGCTAGCAACTACATTCAGTTCATCATATCCTTCTACATCCTTAACAGTGAATATCAAATCCCATGTGCATTTGTCGTTGAAACGATTAAGGCATGGAAGCCAGTATCTTGTTACACCACCTACCGGATGGTTAATGGTAAATACATAAGGGTCCAACTATTCATAAACGATGATAATTAAAATAAAAGTTAATTACATGCCAAAATATAATGAAAATGAAAAGTAACCTTACTATAGATTTATTTATTTCGCGATTAGGATCAGGATATACAAAATGTATACCAGATTGAGGTTGTTTTAACTTGTATTCCACACGAACTTTAAATGGTTTTATTAACCCTTGCTATAAAAAAATAAAGCATTCGGTAATATTACATTTAATTATGTAAGTTCCAATAAATACAAATAGACATGAACAATAAAAAATATTGACAGATACTTCGTCTGTTTGCATAATCTCAACTATTTCTTTAGGTACAGAAATCATAATTTCACCTTCTTGTCCAATATTCAACCTATTCTCATTTGAATAATGTGCAATAGGGATATCGAAAGGTGCGACAAGGTCATTAACTGTTATGCGTTTAATTGCTTTTAATATTGCAAATATAAAAATAAAAATGTTAAATAAAATTCAAAATATTGTATTTATTTATTTGATTCTTTCTAGATATTCGACTTGATTGACTCATAATATTCTTCCTTTGTGATTTATTTTTTTATATATATAACTCTATATCTTCCTCTTATTTTTTTTATTTGAAAAAATTTTTGTTAAAAAAAAAAATAATTAATTTCAGAAACGAAAGTGGAAAACGTTAAGTATAAGTGTGATCTTAAATAGAATATTTTTATCAAATCATCTACTTTAATATATCCACTAAAATAAAATTAAAATACATACCACATTGCCTACAATGTAATTTTATTAAACAGATATCCTCAGTAAGAGGAAAGAGAAAAAGCTCAGTGAATCCCTGATAATAAAATTTTTTAGTATACAGATAAAGGGTGTCGTTATATAAAAGGATATTATAAATAATTATACCTCGATTGATTCTTCTGAGAGGTTTATAGCTAAATTGACAATTTGATGCTAAAGTAAATAATTCAAAAAGAAACCGTTGATTAATAAATACAAAAATAGAAACGTAAAGTAAGTTGACTTACGGAAATTATATATCCACGTTCTTTTTGTATTATATCGAAATGTCGATTCACGAAATTCATCTTACTTGTGTTCGTCGATTTCGAACCTTTTGATTCTTGAAATTGTACTTGAGGCATAAAGGTGGTGGTGAATTGTATTGAAAGAAAGTCCAACTAAAATTTGAAATGATCATCATTTACATTTATATATCGAAAATGATCGACCGTTGTACCGATTTTTATTTGTTAATAAAAACAGTTCTGTTAATCATTTTTTACAACCTACCAAAGTGCAAGTAAAATCCAAGAGACGTTTGACTAAGGGTTGCTAGACGAAATCTAGAGTTTAGACAGGCGTCTAAATAGTAAAGGTAAAACTTGGTTAAATTATATTAAAACCTTATTAAAAAATCTGCGAAATTCAGAAAAAGGTAAAACTATATCAAAGCTTATAAAAATGACTAAACTATATCAAACACAGTAAAAATTTAATGAAACTTAAGGTTTAATCATTTAGCCAAATCAAAAATGAGTTTAGATAAGCAACCTTATTTGTGACTTTAGTTTTATTAAAAAAACTTAGAAAATAACTCTGCGGTTTTGGTTTTACTAAAAAAACTTAGTAATAACCGCTATTGCAACTTTAATTTTACTAAGAAAACTTAGTAATAGTCACTATTATAGCTTCAGTTTTATTAAGTAAACTTAGTAATAATTGCTATCATAGCTTTGGAATCATTTTATTAATAAAAAACGTTTCTGAAGTCACAAATGCATTTTTTTACTAGGTTTCTTAGTAAAAAAATCTCTAAAGCTGCATTAGAAATTGGAACTAGCTTTGGATCACCTGGACCACCTACATTAAATCAGTTTAACCTAATTTTAGATTTGACAACCTGGATACCCAATTACCTTAATAAATAAAAGCAGATTTCTGATGCTTGATGATTTTAAGAAATTCAAATTAGTTAAAATATTAAATGAGTTTTAATTTGTTTAAAATTTAAATTATGGAAGACATTTATAGGTAAATATTCTACAGACATTTCAGCTGAATTTTTTTATTTAATTTTCAATTTGTTATCAAATTTACTTTAAATATTAGCTTTTAACTATGAATGATAGGCCTTCATTTTAGACAATAATAATATAATTATTACTCTAATAATAAAGTTCACTACAATTTTTTTTTATGAAAGCAATAACATATTACAATAAAAGTTAATTTAAATAAACTTATGATCCCAAAATAACCTAGGTATCTGATTTATAAAATGATGCAAATACCTGAATGATAAATTAGAAGACAGTTTTAATCTCTAAGTTATATAAGAATTTTTATTATAGTTTCTTAGTAAAAAAGGCATTTCTAAAGTTATAAAGGCACTTTTACTATAGTTTTTTTAATAAAAAAACATTTTTAAAGCCACAAAAATGCTTTTACTATAGTTTTCTTAGTAAATACCACCTTTGAAGCTTTGGATATGGCTTTACTATTAATTTGAATTAAAATAATATTTAAATACTTGATTTAAATTTGATCAAATTAAATCAAATATAAATTTGTATTTGTATTTGATTTGATTTTTAAATCAAATATTCAAATATTAAATCAAATTGTAAAACCCTAGTAAAACTAGTTGTCTCAAATACATTATTCTTTTATTATATACTAAATTTTCTTTTTTTAATGGTAATACAGAAATGTAATGAGATAACTAGTTGGTTTAGGTGATAAACTTTTTGAAGAAGATTAAATATTTTTTGTTTTAATTTTCTACTTATATACTGTTATCCAAATTATACATGAAGTCGAAATGGATCATTTCAGATATCCAAAATAGTCGAAATGGTCGAAATCATTTCAACCATTGGAGGCTAAAGTCGCGAAATAGTCAAAATGACATCATATCACATGATTTTTATATAGAAAAAATAAAAAAAAATAAAAGATATACGATTTCAGTCAATATCGCTCTGATTCGTATATAACAACTACCATTCAATTCCTCGAAACTAGGCGGATCCAATGAGCTAACATTCATTGATTTTAGATCATCCAATCACGAGATACTTGCTATTCTATTATTAGCCGAAATTATAAATCCATAAATTCTACTTTAAACCAGATTTCGAAATATGATAGCAGATATTTCGAGATGGGATGATCTAAAATTAATGAAATTTAGCTCATTGGATTCGTCTAGTCGCGAGGAATCGAATGGTAGTTGTTTCATATGAATCGGTGCGATATTGATCGAAATCGTACATATTTGGTTTTTTTTTGTTTTTTCTATATATAAAAATCATGTGATATGACGTCATTTCGATCATTTCGACTTTTCATTTCGACTTTGACCTCCAAAGTCGAAACTTTTCAACTTTTTGGGTTTTCATTTCGACTTCATGTATAATCCAAATGATCTTTAAAGAAAATTAAATTATAATATAGTAAAGATAATTGATATACAAATCTTTAGATAATCTATCAACTTTATAATATAATGATAATCTTCAAAAATTGAATTTATATGAAGATTCTGAGCTGAATCTTGTTACTACTCGATTGATTAAGTATTAATTACCAATCAGGTAACAGTATCCTTTATAGGATTTTCTTTTATATTTTATATTTAAAATTTAAAATTTTAATAAATAAATATTTCATCATGTTTTTAAAAAAAAAATTAGTTAATATATTATAAAAATTTAACTAATTAAAGTTTATATCATATTTATTTTTATTATAAAGTCTAAAATTTTTTTGTTAGATTATATCCTATATATTAAATAAGTTTTAAAAATTTGCTATTGTTTAATATTATAGTTAACTAACATGTTTTTAAATTGTAAATATTTAGATGACTTTTTTAATTAATTATATTATTTTTTTTTTACTAATCTTATAATTATTTAATTTAAATATTAAATTTTATATATTTATTAATACAAAATTTAATATTTTATAATATATAGAAAAATTGCTAAAACAATTAGGTTATAAGAATTACAATTAGATTATAAGAATTTGATTAATAAAATTTTAATTTATTAATTTTGATTATATTGATTAAATGTAATAAGATTTAAAAAGTTTTTATAATCTGATTTTTTTATATAATATATACAGTCAAACCTTGATATAACGAATCCTTAATATAGCGAATTTTTAAATCAAATATATTAAAATTACCTTACTATTCCTTAAATTGTAGGGTTTTGCAGGCAAATTTGCCTGCTTATTTACTATAAATTCTCTTCTGATTTACTTTATAAATAATTAATATTTTTTAAAATTTTTTTTTTAAATATATTTTATAAATATGTAATATATTATAATAAGTTTTACCTTTTAATTATATAATAAAAAATGCAATGTTACTTAAAAGCTAAAATTTGTAATTTTTAAAAAAAAATTATTTTAAAAATTTCATGATTAATCTATGATAAACTTTTTAGAATTTACTTTTTAACTATATTAATTATAATAGAATATTATAAAATTACTTATAAAGAAAAACTTTTATTATTATAATTTTTATAA